TTTATATGTTTTTGACAATCAGCAATTTCTTTTAAGTATTCTTTTCTTTTTTGGTCTCTTTCAACTAATTCCTTATAAACCAACTGTTGAAGAGGGTGAGTATAATCAGCAGCTACCATTTCTTCAATGATTAGATTTTAGTTCAACTGGTAATTTATTTTGAGAGTAGAATTGCTTTCGTGCTAAATACTCTGTAAATCAAACTGGCTGGTCTGGAGGTTTATTAATATTAAATTTACTGACTATTTCTCATTGTCTTTTTCAGCTTCTTTCTATAATCTCTTTTGCTGAGTTCATCTGGCTCTCTCAGAGTTTTTTTAAACTGCTATTACTATTATAATCAGCAAAGTCTTGGTAATCAGTATCACAGTATGTTACTTTTTGTTTATTATTTATATTATTCATAATAAATATTTTTATAGCTTATCAATCCAATTATATATATTGTTATATTAATATGTGAGGATCAAGAGCCTAAGATGACGTATTCCTTCCTAAATTTCTGTGGAACCCGTTAGTGCCACCAGAACCTCAGAGGTGCATCTCATATGACCAGTGTTGTAACTGCTGTAGGTCGGCGATGTAACAGTGGTACTAAAATTTACGGTTGCACTAGAAGCGCATTAGAAGCGCATTAGAAGCGCTGGGTAGCAGCAAGAGGGAATAGTGATAAATTTAGAGAATAATTAGTAATTAGCAATTAGTCATCCGATGTTAAAAATAGATCAATTAGTAGACGATAAAGTATATAAGCAGCTTAGAAGTCGTTTAGCATCAGTGTGTTCCATGTTCGCGATGTTCGAGATCTAACATTTCTTCCTTATATCGAAGACGTTCGATTTCCTTTATTTTTTATTAATAAACGAGTATCCATTTACTCTGAAACGATAGTTCTTTCCCTGAATATCCCGTTATATTTTAAAGCATTAATCCGTATAACGGCAAGATCGGTTATAATACTTGTCTCGTGATCGATCGAGTGGCATTAGGATAGTTAATTATTATTTCTCAACGCGTTAATTTCTTATTAAGACCCCGACCTACAGACTACCACCGGTAGAGAGTAGTTGTGTTTCTCGAGAATAATTAATTATCTAGGATTAGTGTGTGCAATCCGTATAAGAATACGTCAGACCGAAAAGCCTAAATTAAAGGTCACTAACTGTTTGTTACGATTTAGCTATCGCTGAGGTGAGCCACAGTCCTACGATGGCGCAGCTAGATCCCAAACCGAAACAGTAGTTATCCGCTCTCCCATGACTATTGCCTCGACATATATATAGAGGTAATCCTATATTAATATTAATCATGTTATGGTTTATATTCATCACATTCTGAGCATTAAAATTATGAGCACCATTATTACTATTCAAAACGTCATCAGTCACACTGATTATTTTTACCACATCCTAATCAGCCTCTCATTTATAGAATGTTCACTTTGTCTGGTTTTGTTGCAGTCTGCCCCATATATGATCAGTATTCACGATTTTCTCTATTGAGAAATCGACCGTTCTCTCTCCTAGCAATAATCAAAGATTTTGTCCTTTTCATTTTTCTCATTTTTCCCATCTCAAATCCCATACCGTAAAGATGCCACAAGACTTTTTTAATAGTCTGTCTCAAGACTTTAGTAATCTTCTCGCAAATGCAGACGAGTATAATGTAATACTCGAAGTCGGAGAGGCACCAACATCGAAAACCTTTCGTGCACACTCCTTAGTATTGAGAGCGAGGAGTCCGTATTTTCATACTGCGTTGTCTAGTGAATGGGCTAGGAAGGAAGGGGGGTCTACCGTTTTTAAGAAGCCGAACGTGTCACCTTTGGTATTTGAAATTATTTTGAAGTGAGTCACCGGGGGTTAGAATGAGAAGAATAGATTGATAGATGAGAAGCTGAAAGTATGTGATACTTTGCTTACTTTAAATAGTGTAAGTTTAATCGTCACTAGAAAGGCTTATTCGCGACAAGTGATTCCTAGATTGACGTGTATTGTGACCATATGCCGTGCTTATCACTCATCCAGCTTGCCTCATAATTGAACTGACCCGCTTCTTTTATTGTTTTATAGATACATGTATTCCGGGTCAATTGCCCTAGAAGAAGTGGACGTGAAAGAAATTATCAATCTTTTAATCGCAACTGACGAATTACTGTTGAAAGAACTATTTGACTATGTGGAAGATTTTATACTTGAGCATGAACGAGAATGGGTTGAGGCGCACGTCGTTTATGTGCATCGATCAGTTTATCAACACGAATCGTGCAGTAAACTTCAAGATTTCTGTCTCAAGACCATCTGTAAGTCACCTCATACGGTCTTTGAATCCGAAGAGTTTTTCTCTTTTGAACAGAATTTGTTAATACCCATTATCGAGCGAAATGAATTGCAAATGGAAGAAATTGATGTTTGGAACAAGATGCTTCAATGGGGAATCGCACAAAGTGAAGGTCTACCGGATAATCTTGATGAATGGAGTGAAACCCATTTCGCAACACTGGAAAGAAATTTAAAACGGTTTCTCCCTTTGATTCGATTTACTCAAATGTCGGGTCCCGAATTTTACGAAAATGTCTGGGCGTATTATTCGATCTTACCATGGGAAATTCTGAATGAAGCAATGAGATATTACTGTACACGTACGATGCCTGCCACATGTATTACTATCCATCAACCTCGACTGATTTCCTTCGATTCTGTTATTATCCAAAATAACTACGTCGCCAAAATTTGCGATTGGATTGATCGTAACGACGGAAAACCATACGCTTATGAGGAGGTTCCATATAAATTTAAACTGCTACTTCGTGGCTCTCGTGATGGATTTGAAGCAGAGACGTTTCACACCTTGTGCGATGATAAAGGTCCAACCATAGTCGTTCTTCGAGTACGTGGAAGTGAAGATATTATTGGAGGGTATAATCCTCTTACGTGGAAAACCGGCGAAGGAAAGATGACTACACAGAACAGCTTCTTGTTTTCCTTTGGTAATAAAGGAGTTATTTCTGACGCCAAGTTAGCTAGAGTGGATCGTCCTGATTATGCTATTCGATTGAAAGATGTGAACCATGGACCTTGCTTTGGTGATAGAGATCTGTGGATGAAGAATAAATTTAATGAGCATCAGAATTGTTCTTGTGAGAAGGACGATTATCATGACATTATTTATAGTAATAGTAAGTTTAGTGTCGTTGAATACGAAGTATTTCTTATTGTCAAGAAATAACTCGATGTCTAACCACATAAGAACAATTTCAAGAGAAGAGATGTCTCTTTGTCAAACACACTACTTTGTGAATGCCAATAATAAATAATTATATTATGTGTACATTGATTATATACTAACAACAGTGCGAGCATATCAATAAGAAGCTAATGGAGAGGTGCAGTTTAAGTATAATTTAATTTATAATACAGACATCGATCTTTGGTCTTTAATCTTTAGTTATCCAATATTTACAATTTTGTAAACAACTCCCAAAACATATGGCTAACAATGTTTGTCATCTTTAACGTAGGCATTATATCATGATTAGTAAGATCGCGACTTGATCATTATACAGCTTCCGAAAATATAACGACCGCTTGTTCGTTCCAGCCCACGGACTTATGAATTTGTTATAATATATCAAATTCTCCACGTGTCAAATATTACTCGCTTAAGTGTTTACAATCAATAATATGTACTAATTTTGTATTTGATATTCACTAAAATCATTATCATCGCTGATGTTAATACAAGATATGATGAAGATGAACGATATTATTATGTATGTTATTATGAGCATTTTCTTGGATACAGAATATGATCTAATATATTTTCGAGAAAGACTACTTTGGTGCAAGACAATCGGACATCAAGAAACTATAAACGTTATAAGTTGTGTGATGCGCATTAAACTGTTCATTATTGTTTTTGTACAATTACACAATAGCGTCTTTTGCCATTATTATACAATAAACTACTATGCATTATCACCTGCTTGCCCTCAAAAAAGTATTAAGCGTTATATGTTCTAAACAAATCATAAAAAAATTATAATGAATATATCGAATGTGGTTCGGATTCCTAAATATGCATATAAGAAGTATATGTTCAACTCGTGTATTTCTCTACTGTCGAGGCAATATAAATACTCTTCTGAAGAAAGGTGAAATATCCAGTTTCTTCACCCAACAGGTGTGTCAATATACATGAGCATCCACATCCACTAGGACACTTGACATTGTTATTTGCAAACCAATCACGCATATGCATTGCATGACCACCATGATTACACTTGATACAGAAGCTAACTAATCCTGTAATCCAAAAAGAAATTAATCGACCAAACCTAGAATTGACTCGAACAATAACGCCAAACTAACCTTTGGTCAAACAACGACATATTGAACATTTTATACCAGACTCCTTCCTCGCGTTCTTCTTATTCGTCTCACAAGACTCGTTCGTGCACCTTAATTTAAGACGACCTCTTGTGGAGGTGTTTACCGTTGCACTACCACATGTTTGGCAAACACTGTGGACAGCTATAATGGTAGATAACGATAATAAAAACTAAATAAACACCCCGAATAAAGAAAAGAAAGTATAGAAATTATAACATACTTCGCAAATTTTCCTTATCAACAACCAACCCGCCAAATATAGTCTTTGATTTCACAAGATCCATAAACTTCAATAATTCAGCACGAGCTTCCAATAGTCCCCACATATATAGCAATTTAGCATAGGCAAGCCGGTATTGATCATAAGTGATTGCGGCTTGAGCATCTGTTTCTAGTAATGGTAAATGAGTTGGCCTATTGTTATCGATTTAGTTATCAATAACACCAGTCGTTAAGTTAGTCAGCCGTTAAAACGTCTGCATAAGAATCTTTTTAAAACACCAACCATGTTTCATCTTCAAAATCCTTCTTGTTCTCAGAAATACTAAAGTCTCCCCTGTCAGAATTCATATGCTCGTTTTCTGACTTCGATGCGAATCCCGCCGGACTACTTCCTCTCGGAAGCGAATCTGCTGTACTACCACTTGATGGGTATGACATCATGCTACCAGGAATAGTCTTTTTATGATATGATGAGTCAGGTATGGGCATGTTTATTCCATGCACTGTACTTTCACCTAGACTGAATCCATTAGAAGCAAACGTTGTAGGGGTTGCAGACAGAAAGTTTAGAGCGTAATCATTAGGATAATAGCCATGCCATGATCCACGAGACGAGTACGTATCACTAAAATGGGATACGAAAGAATGATTCATCATCGAAGAGACGTTTGTGCGATGTGAGGTAGATAACGAAAGTCTTTCAGGATTGCGTTGGTAATTAAAGTAATCGGAACTTTGATTTAAAGGGGCGCTACCAAAAGAGTCTGGTGTTGACTACATAGAAAATTCATTGGTCAAAATGTCAATTCAAGGTATCGGAGTAAAACAATGAAATCGACTAGATCCTTTACCATATCATCGGCTTCGACCGTTTTTTTTTCTGGTTCACGGAATACGCAAGATAACATCGCAAGTGTTTGGACATCGCCAATTGTTGCGAAATGTTGAAATCTATGGGAAAGCTATACATTAGTTACACAAGTAACAACTGTCAATAACACGCCGGAACCTTGCTTACATCTTTTTAACAAGGTCTGCACCAAATGGATGATATCCCCATTGTATCCTAAAAGGCATAAACGATCCGTTATCATCTATAAATGGTGGCTCTACTGCGGTGCCACTATCTCGTCTCTTCGTCGCTGATCTTGGAACATTCTGTTGTATACCGCTGCCAACAAAGCCGCGTCTCTTATCGCATGGGACTTGATCGTCAAGAATGAGTGCCGCTAGTAACCAAATTTCTTCGAGATCCGAACGATTATGTTTGGCTGCCACACGAGCATTATGGTTGCATATATGGATTGGGTCATCCCCGAGTAACCTATGGGAAACAATTGAAAAAATAAATAGTAACGCCAGTCTCGACAACAGCATTGTTACAACTTACGTGTATTCTATGGCTAATTTCTTGCTAACTGGTATCCAATCTGATAAGTCATGAAGATATACCGTGTAACCCGTTCGATTGAGTTTCGTTGCTGGCTGGTACAATGCACCAGTTCCAACAGTATCTTGCTTACGTATGCTCTACCCAACCATTGAAGCACAAAATATTAGTATAAAAACAGACATCCTTTCGCTTCAAACTCCCAACCAACATACTGGATACATGAAGAGATTTAATGACTCGTTTTCGTCATCTGGCCCATCACTGCTCGGATTGTCATCGTCTCCAAGATGAGCGAAACGACGGGGTAATTGCGAAATAACTTTATATTGATCAAAATACTCATATGTGGGGGGATGTGTGTACGTGTATCGTGCGCTTTTAGGATTCGTATTTGATGAATCCCGTGCACGATAACACGAAAAGAAACAAATAAGCTGGCCTAAAAATAAAAAGTATTTCTGAATACAAATCCTCGTTTTTTTTTGTCTGTAGCATCAAAATAGATTCAACATCAATCTTGTTATACTGACCGTTTCCCGAAAATCTTGCCCCACATAAATTTGGAAATGGTACATTATGGTCATCGCGTTCACCAGCATCTTGCAGACTACTCCAATTCCTACCATGTGGTGGCCGTCTTGACAAATCCATATCACTTCTTCCATATTTCTCTCCGCTTTCTTCACCAAGAAGATATCGGATGCAAGCTTCAAGGCATGGACGTTTTTGTGAGGCGCACTTGTTAGCGATAAAGTCTAGAAGCCGTAATATTTGACTACGGCTCATCATTGAAATCATGCCAGTCTTCTGAATCTCAAAATCGGGAACACCCCGCTCAGGATATTCTTCTGGAAAATATACGTTAATTTGAAGAAATGCAACTCCATCGTCTGCCCATGGGCCATGGGAATGAAGGCTTATTGTACACCGTCTATCGGGTATTATCAACTTAATACGAGAATGTAATGTAAAAACTCAATCCGGTATAACCATTGCGTATTATACATCATAATAACATCGAGTATTCATATCCTACCGGATTAAATACCACTTGAGGAAATTTTTTCGAGACTTGACCTAGTTCATCCAGCCAATTACGTGGTGCAGTCCCGGCACTTCCAGCCTCTTCTCCCCGTTGTTTGATAATCTTCACACCTTGCATCCATGACAATGGAGATATTTTTAATCTCCGATATATTTCGGTCGATGGGGGACCCATATAACTCGTAATGCTGGACATTCTGTTTCCAGGCATTACTTTCAATGTCGGGACAGTTAATGCGGAAGTTTGTGAAGAGGTAAAAAGCTTTCTGCGGGGAGAGTCACGATAGGTATGCGTCGAATGACCGGTTCGAGTAAACTTGTCTGTGATCCTGCGACGCTGACCTCTTTTATGTCCGATGCTCTATTTAAAGGTGAAATGTGAATTTATAATACTGGAACATACACACATTCATCTACGTTGCCTACCTGCAAATGTTCATCTTTAATAGGCCAGAGACGTAGATGTTGATCCTTTGACCAGGTTACTAGTTGGAATTCTCGATCATCCACATTCGAATCGCCACCTCCTTTCATTCTCCAGACAAATTCTTTGACAACATCTTTATGACCTTGAAAGGAATGTACCGGTTTTTCGGGTTTCTCACGGTTCCATAAATACAATGTTGTTTCTAGACGTTGAGGCATTGTCAGAATACCGTGGCCAACTGGCTAACAGAGCAGTTTTGGGATGAGTGTCTGTATGGAGAACATCATAAACCTATCAAATACATACTGTATGTCGAGCTCTCCAAACTGGTGAATTCGTTAGAATTTGACCTTGACATTTTCCTGGTTCATGTATATTCCAATACTATGTCGATTCAAAAGACAATCACAGGAGATTAATGGAAATCTAGAAAAAGCACAACTTTCTATCCAAATTGATTTCAAATAATTGGCCGCATACTTTGACTGACTTGTCCAAGCTACAAGTAATGATATTACTGTCATCGTGTCGACTCCAGTCTATACCATAAATTTTTGCCGTATGAGCTCTTATTGATGTTATTGGAAGAGACCCCATCTACACAACAATTGATGAGTATGTATGATAACGATAATAGTAAGCGGCAACAAAATAATTTCACCCTACCCTAATATCCCAGATTTTTAGATCTCGATCATGAGCAGATGCTAGTAAGTATTTATTTTTCCTATTAAATTTAACTTGCGTCGCGCCAGCTATTAAAGAATAGACAATTATATATAAAAATTTCTCAAGTAATTGCGACCTGTAAAGTAGCAAACAGTTCAAAATGCACCTGTCCATGCACAAAAGGAAGAACTGGGTTTGGTAGGTGTCCTCAAGTCCCAAAGATTGATAAACGCATCGACGGAACACGTAGCGATTTTATCAGGATCAAAGGGACTCCAATTTACATCGCTAATAGCTCTTGTATGGCCGTGAAGTACGATATGAATTGTGTTGTGCTCTGGTCTTTCAAGGTTCCAGATAAATGCCTTTTGATTCGACTAGAATTACACCGTAGACAATTAATGTTAATGAAAGTTTGAGAATACATAACACCCCATCCAGTTATGCTCGAGAATTCCAATAATCTTGATGACTTACAGTAGACGCAACCCATTTATCCCTAGCCGAATGCGGGTTCCACTGGATATCAGCCACCTCCCAATTTGTAAAATGATAAAGGACACGAGGAGGCGACCAAGGATTTTCAAGGTCTATGATGAAAAGTCCTTTTCTCCTGTAACCGCAATAACATCAGCTTGTTAACGATGAAATGTAAAATCAATGTCATATATATCCAAGATACTCACGCTGCTAACGCAACATCTCTATTAGACGGCGATATGGACATGCTACCCACTGGCTGTGCTACGCGAATTGACAATTGCGAATAGAAAGTCGTTTTCGAAGGCACGGAATCCTTCTGATCGGGCGGTTGGAATTCCTCTTTGGTCGACATAAATGTAGCGCCATTGCGTGAAGGAGAAGCCATACTTTGCTTAAAACCTCCTAACTGATCGATCTTTGAACTCGATACCTTTGGTAATTAACGTCGTCATTGTCAAAACAAGATTCAAACAAGATATGTTACACACACAATTGTAAAAAGAACGATCGTTGACGCCATAGGAAACACAATAATAATATGTTTATCCGGCTAATCGAATGACAAAAGAGTGATCGCAAGAATATTTTTCAAGCTTCTCTACCAGGTTAAAGCAAATTCATATAGCTACACTCACTACCAAAAGAAATTTGCTGATCAATAGTAAAACATACGAAAAATCTATTTTTTCGAAAATCTCTATCAGCAATATCTATTGTGTA